GCAACATTTTAAAAATTCCTGAATTTCCCCTAGTTTGACACACGTGACACATTTTATTTAGGCATTTTCTCTTCTCTATTTTATTCACCACCCATCCAATAAGTACAAAATTAAATGTAAATTACTCACTATAAAATCATCATTGCTTAGACAACCCATAATTTTTATAGCCTTCAATTTTGTTTGGTTACAGAGTTATCAAATAGAAAATCAGACCCCTCTTGACACACTCACCTGTCACATCCTGTCTTTCAGGATTTGTTAATAGTTCTCTCTTACGTTTAATACTATATACCAATAGAAAGCCAAGGTTTTCATCTATCAAATAACGTGTTATATTAAGTTTGTTTTCTAAATGGAGAATTGTCAGTTTCTCTATTAGTACAAGCTTTGTTCCCATGGGAAAGATAATGACTAGCTTGGATAACTTATAACAACTTTTGTTGCATAGTTAGAAAGCCAGAAAAATTGTGACAGTTAGAGAAAATTTAGTGCGTTACTACCATTAGTATAAAAAATGAGTGGATAAGTATTTTAATTCTTGTTTTTCATGTTTATTCTTTATATGTTATTATAAAAGTTATTAAAATGCAAAAATAATGATCTTTCTATAATAATTAGTGTTAGATTAGGTAAAATAAATAATTATATAACAAAATGTTTCAGGAGGCACGCACATGAGCAGTTCGTAAATAATGTAATTCGATTGTGTAACGTGAAGCTTCAGTATTCCCCAAGCAATTTAAAACTTATAATGGTAGTTAGACATGTTCAAAGGGCGATAAAACAAAACTTAATTATAAATAGTTGTATACTGTTACGAGTTTAAAGCTGCTTAGGACAAATGAATGTAGTGTCATGTTACAATTTGAAGTCATTCTAGAAGGAAATGGTAATTTAGATATATTTGGTTTTTCTGGTGGTTATGAGGTTGGTAAAACTGACGAATCCTGTTTTGAGTTGGGTTGAGAAAATAACAGATAAAATAAAGTTTTATTGAAAACAAACATTTAAAATGAAATTTTTGATGTTAATAAAAGTATTTTTAATTTTAACACGAAAATCATTTTGCACACGGACTATTAAAAAAAAATACTCGATATATTCAGACAAATAGTTTTTTTTTAGTTTATTTAAAATACTTTACTAAAAGATATGGTTTTTGTATGTGAAAGACTTGTAATGTTTACTGAAAGCCTGCAAAATTTTGTGAAGATATATTTACCATATTAAAAGTTAATAGTATCAAATCTATAAAGACTTTCAATATGTACAAAGAGATCACATTTCTGTGACTGTGTTGAGAGAGTTATTTATATAACAGTGAAATAGGAAGCATTAATTAACTTTGAATGGAAAGAACTTAGAAATAATGTGCTGTAAAACCTAACTTTCCAAATCATTTTGCTTTCATAGAAATGTTTCATCCGTATTACATGTAGTTATATTTGTACAAGTGTTTTTCTTCAGTATTAGGTAGCTGTAATGGTAACTGTGACTCCATATACTTAACACAGAAGACAAAAACCATTGATTACTTTCAAACTGAATAAGACAAAGTTAATTATGCTATCACCTTCCCCACTGGTAACATCAGTAAGTTTTATGTCACTACAACTGATCAAACACTGTCGAGAATTCTTTAAAATATTGAGGGTTATTACCTTGTCATCTTTTTAGCTGTTTAATAGTAGATTGTTAACTACAGTTATTCCTTGTCATTTATGGTTTCAATTATAGATGCAGTGCATCCCCAAACCTAGTGCAGGGCTTGCATAGAGCTGCACTGCACATCCCACATTTGCACCACACACCACAACATCCCACCTGTTCTCAGTCTTTGTTCAACTGCAGTGTTTCTCTGCAGGCTCTCATATGTAACCTCTCTGAATCCTCCACCTGCTTCCTCTGCTGCCACTACATCTATTACTAATGGTATTCACAATTTTAGCAATCCCCTCTCACACCGACAGACTTTTGTTGAACCAAAAATAAATCCTCTCACATTGAAATCCCTTAAAAACAATGATGTATTTATATTAAAATAATGCAGTGCTTATCGAATGCTTGAGTTCTCACATTTAAATCCCCATTTGCCAAATAAACAAAGATAACATTATACAGTATCTGAAAAATGTAAGCTACAGTTCAAAGAACTTTAAATTATGCCAACAGTGATTAAATTGTTATTGTATAAAGGTAAGATTTTCAAGAGACTACAAAATACTCTGTGCTGCCTCAGAAGCAGCCATAGTAGTTCAACTCAATAAAAATGGCTTTGTAACAAATGACAGTTCCTTAACTAAACACTGCAAGGTCTTCAGTAAGTAATTAACCCTTTCTGGATCTACATTACTAAACATTTCTTGCCATTCATAGGGGATAGGTTCTAGATATTGCCACGATTTTATTTTTCTACAGAAGGCTCAGTGCGGTTGAGGGATCTTTTTTTTTGAACAGAAGAATTAGTTTGATGAAAAGATTATTTTCAATTATTCAACAGTAGATTTTCATTGTGATAAGAGATTTTTATTATTCTATAAAAGTCTGTCATTGTGATAAGACTGTATTATGATTTTTTTCTATAGCAGTCTGTCAGTGAGAGAGGAGATTATTGTTATTTTTAATTTTTTTACACAGAAGAAGACTGTCGATGTGATGAGAGAGGAAGCATAAGTCAAGAATGTGATTTTCAGAGGAGATGTGCTTGCAAGGTAGACTTTTACAATATTAGTGAAAACAGTTTTCTATAGAGATATCAAGTTGACATGGTTTTTTCTTAATCGCTAATTATGGTATTAATTAATATGGTATTAATTCTAAGCTTTTCTGTAGTTTATTTGGATCTTTTGTAACTTTTGTTGGTCATATAGTTTTTATCTTAAATACTTTTCTTTGTTATTCTGCTCTTGTAGGCATGATGTATTGTGTAATATTACCCAAGTTTTCAGTAACAGCATGTAATGTATTTCACTGTCACTGATAGGAACATGTGGAAGGAAAGAACTGTAATCGTTGTGTTGAAGGATTTTACAACATGAATAAAGAAAACCCAGCTGGCTGTTCATTATGCTATTGTTTTGAAGTCACTGAACAGTGCAGCAGTAGCTCTTATTACAGGCAACAGGTAGCTTTTCGTTTTTTTAGATATCTAAACATTTTAAGTGGAAGATTCCAAAACTTAAAGGAAATTAGTTGTTAAATGTATAAACTGTAAGAAAATTAGAATATTCTCTATAATTATAAAAGAAGGCATTTAATCATACTTTTGTAACATTTGCAGCATTTATTACAGTTAACAGGACAACTGCTAAAGATGTAATGTTTCATAAATTTTTTGATTATGACAATGTGTATTTTGTATAATGTTGAGCAGTAACCAGTGATACGAATAGTAAATGCTATACGGTACAGTTCATTAATTACCATTCAATATACAGATAAAAATGGATTTGCAAAGTTTGAGGGATCCTTACAGTCACCACTTCCAGATCACAAACAGATATCGCTCTCGAACAATATCGGAAGGAATCATCGTTAACCCAGCTTATAATCAAGTTCGCTTTATGTCATTCCCAAGGCAGCCAACACAAGTTGAAACTTTGTATTGGTCTTTACCGGAACAATTTCTAGGCAACAAGGTAAATATCATAAATTTATTAAGATGTCAAATGTTTTACATAAATATTTCTGAACAAGATAAAGAACTATTGCTCATACTTCATATTAACCTATTCACTTTGCACTCTTGTATACTTTTATTCCTTTATGTTAAAAGAAACCTCTAAAACAATACTTCAAACTTCAGTTTTCTTGTTACATGATGCACTAGTACTCGAAATATCTTAACTTTTATTTCTGGTGTTTGTATAATACTCCATCTGCAGTATTTGTGTATGTCTAGATACAAAACTACATGTACAGGACTGTTTACCCATCACTTGTTTCAAATTCTATCCAGTCAATTAGCAGAACAAAGTAATAAATATTCTCCCCTCTGAAAGTATCCACGTCCACCTTCTATTGTAGAAAGGGAAATTGTAAGCTAATGTATATGTATTTGAAGTAGATGTTTATAGCTAATAGAAAGAGCAAATTTTAAACTGCAATTTCTTAATTGCTGTTTTAAAACTGGCATGAATTATTCATTCACAAGCTCACCAAACCACTAAATGTAAATCATTGTTGGAGACTCATTGTCACTAGAACTTGGTTATTTTATTCTCACCTTATACATATTAGTTTGATACAGTTAAATTCTATTTAGGTTTTACTTTTATATTTTTAGTTAATTATGTATGATTTGTGTTTTAAAATTCATATTTGAAAGGTTTCATATTTTTTTTTAGTATAATCCAAATATCGGATGTTAAAAATAATATATAAATACTTGTTGAAAAAACCAAAATTAAATATTTTTCTGAAATTTCATGCCTTTAGGAAAGTTCATCTCAAGTTTCAAACTATTTCTTCCACTACTTTTATTTTTGGAACAAAATTTGGAAGACTAGATATATGTTAAGAGGTGAAATTAAAGATAGAATCTGTATTGTAGAGCCCTAATGCATTCCATGATTGGCCATACCCTCTATAGGTTACTCTATAGTGAAGTAAAATGAACTCAAAACCCTATATATAAAATTTGAGAGTTACGTAACCTACTTACAGTGTAAGTAGTTTGCGCTGAAAGGGTTCATATTAGTGCTCTTCTAATTCAACATTCTGTATACCAATATTGTTTTTTGTTATTGTCCAACAAAGATCTTTCAATAGACTATTTAACTTAAATAAGTGATGCATGCATATTGCTAGTTCATATGGAAGGATGTGTAATATAAAATGTATATTTTTAAAAAGAGATGGATAACTTTGGAACTTGGTATCTTTATATGGAAACTACCACTCATTATACTTCTGTTATGGAGTATAAAGATGAAAGTAATCACAGATTCTGAAGATTTAAGGCCACAGGCTTCATAACTCTAGACATTTTGTCTCCTATGATCTGTTTGTGATCATACAAGTAGAAATTCTATTTTGTCCTGAAAAATCTTAATTTTGGGACAAATTGTCTAAACTGGATTACACAAACTATCCTGTTAATCCTCTTGGTAATCTCTTTCAATAGATCAAAAGTTAGTGTTCATAAACTGGATTATACAAACTATCCTGATAATCCTCTTGGTAATCTCTTTCAATAGATCAAAAGTTAGTGTCCATAAACTGGATTATACAAACTATCCTGTTAATCCTCTTGGTAATCTCTTTCAATAGATCAAAAGTTAGTGTCCATAAACTGGATTATACAAACTATCCTGTTAATCCTCTTGGTATTCTCTTTCAATAGATCAAAAGTTAGTGTCCATAAACTGGATTACACAAACTATCCTGTTAATCCTCTTGGTATTCTCTTTCAATAGATCAAAAGTTAGTGTCCATAGTTTTCTCCACACACTGTTAGAGTTGTGCACAATAGCAAGAACTGTTCTTTTATATCATGGCTTCTAGAATTTAACTAGCTGGCTATGACAGCTTCTGACCTTCATATGTTCTGTATAATGGTGCTCCTGGGATCCACATACAAATTCATTATGGATGTGCTATTAATACCCCCAAGATTTGCTTTTCAAGTACTTTTGGTAGTATACTGCGTAAGGCTGGTCATAAACATATATAGCCTTGGACTTTGATAAAAGTAATTGTACACACACATTCTAAAGTAATGTATGTGGAATTGATTGTTTGAGGCATTACTTGCTATAAAAATGAAGTATGGATTTTAATGAAATAGTTTTCTTTGAACTACCAGAAATTCACAGATTGATTAGAAGAGAGTAGGGCAAAAGATGGCTTGTTGATTACGTATGGTCCATTACATCAGACACACAAGGAAAATGCTTTCAATGAGAAATCATCACACAGTAGACCTCGAAGTGATTATTAAATTTAAATTTCAGTACCAGTGTTTATTTATATTTTGTCTTAGCTTGCTTCATATGGTGGAAAACTTCGCTTTACTCAAGAGTACACAACTGGGGATTATGGAGATCTCTTTGCTGATGCTGATGTTCAGATTGTTGTAAGTAATAACATCTTGTTCTCATTTTTTAATGGTTGTAAATACACATCATTAACATAGGAACTGTTGATATTATATTTGTGAATTATTCAAACACAAATTGTAAACTGCATGAACAGTATTTCAGTAAAAACTGTTGTGGTTCATAACAGTGTTTTCTGTGTTTGTTATACTAAAATTGATGAATTTTGTAACTTTCATAAATAATTCTGACTACAAGTTTGTCTACAACAGCAACTTCATATATAATCTGAGAGTTTTTATAGTGAATAATTATCACTAAAATTTCCCTGTTATGATTCCATGTTCCTGTGATCATTATAATAATTTCTCTAATGCATTTCTTTGAATACTGTGTAGATTCTTATTATAAAAGTATTTAGTGTACATTGCTTGCCCATTTTACAGGGTGTATACAGTGAGGGGAAAATATAGAAAAGTCAAAGGAAATAAAATGCCTAAAGTCAGGAAAAGTCAAGGAATTTGTTTTGGGCCTGTAATCACTAACAGAAATGTATTGGCTACTACTACATTTAGTACGCAAACTCAATAATTTATTTAAAATAGCAATGTAGTGATTTCTGAGCACAATTTTCTTTATAAATATGAATGGTCAGGGAAAACTTAGAAAAAGTCATTTTTTAAAGTTCTTTATACACCCTGTTTTACAATGACTTGTGTCCATTTTGGATAAAAGTTCTATTATAAAATTGCTGGTTTCTCCAGGCTTCTACCTGTTTTTTAAACATTTTATGTCAATCTTGTACGATACTTTAGTAATGTACACTATGGACCATCTTGTACTGTAGCTCTGTGATAAACATTCTTTGTCCATCTTATGCGGGTGTTTTGTGCTAACCACCTTGCACCCTTCATTCTTTATATACACAAGTCTTTGATCAGTGTTACTGCAAGTTTTACTGTGTAATCCATTAACACTGACAGTTTTACATCAGGTGATTAACAATTATATTATAATTAATTTTATCTAAACACAATTACCACTGAAACACTAGTAAAATGCTTTAGTATGTACTCTTGCCAATAAAGTATTTTGTGCTCTATATTTTTCTATCAATAACAAATCTTGTATTATTGCAGTAAGCCACAGTTTTAGAGAATCTTTGTAGGTACTGCTTCCATTAATCTCTTGTATAGTATCTTGTATGTACTGCTGCCACCAACCTCTGTTGAACAGTATCTTATCCTTCACTTTTACCATACAGTATCTTATTTTGTATGTATTTCTGCCATTACATACCTACCTATCCTTGTATATACTGTTGCATTAGCATTTCTTGTAAGTCTTGTGGAGTATCTTTGCATGTATTGGTGCAACAAACAACTTGTATGTACTGTTTCTTTCACCCCTTTTAGAGCATCTTTGTATGTACTGTTACAACAAACCACTCTTCTAACCTTGTATGTGCTGTTGCATTGACTTCTTGTAGGGTAACTTTTATATATATTGTTGCAAGAATATGCTCTTCTATCTTTGTATGTACTGTTGCATTCACTCCTTTTAGAGCATCTTTTATATCTGTTGTTGCAACAAATCACTCTTTTTCTTCTTGTATGTACTGTTCATTGACCTCTTGTAAAGTATGTTTTGTATGTATTGTTACAACAAACCATTCTTCTATCCTTGTATTTACTGTTGCATTGACCTTTTGTATATTCTTTTATATATGTATTGTTACAACAAACCATTCTTCTATCTTTCTATTTACTGTTGCACTGACCTCTTGTAGACTATCTCTTATATCTAATGTTGGAACAAACCTCCCTTCTATCATTGTATGTGCTGTTGCATTGACCTCTTGTAGAGTACCTTTTGTATATACTGTTGCAGCAAACCACTGCTCTATCCTTGTAGTGTCTTTTATATGTATTGTTGCAACAAACCACACTTCTCTCCTTGTATATACTGTTGCATTGACCTTTCTTGTAGAGTATCTTTGTTTTGTTGCAACAAACCACACTTCTCTCCTTGTATATACTGTTGCATTGACCTTTCTTGTAGAGTATCTTTGTTTTGTTGCAACAAACCACACTTCTCTCCTTGTATATACTGTTGCATTGACCTTTCTTGTAGAGTATCTTTGTTTTGTTGCAACAAACCACTCTTCTCTCCTTGTATATACTGTTGCACTGACCTCTTTTGTAGAGTATCTTTGTATGTATTGTTGCAACAAGCCACTCATCTATCCTTGTATGTACTGTTGCACATATCAATCTTTTAGAATACTTTGCATGTATTGTTTCAACAAGCCACTCATCTATCCTTGTATGTACTGTTGCACATATCAATCTTTTAGAATACTTTGCATGTATTGTTTCAACAGACCTGTCTTCTATGATTGTATATACTGTTGCATTAGTCTCTTGTACAGCATATTTTCTTTGTATGTACTCCTGCCACCTAGTAAATGTTGTTTTTACTGTTCACGCAATTAAATACAAAAAAGGATGGAGAATCAGTACTATAAATTTCCTTAACAATTTTAAACATCTCAATTAGATCCCCTCTAACTCTTATTTCTTCAATAGAAAACAAGTCCATAGATCTTAAGTTTTGTATGTCTATCTTTCTATCCCAAGTATCATCCTAGTAGTCCTTCTCTGAATCATTTCCAACAATTCAATGTCCTATCTAAGGTGAGGAGCCCAAGACTAAATGTGGTACTTTAAATGTGATGTAATTAATGAACATTATAACCTCATTAGACTGGTAGTGAATATTTCTGTAGATTCAACATAAAATCCTATTTATCCTGCCACTAGCAACAACACATTGGCTTAAGAGACTGATAAACCAGAATACTACACTCATACCCTTATCCACATAAGTAGTAACCTAGTCAAAGAATGTCAAAAGATTAGTAAGGCAAGATTTTCTCCTATTGAAACCATGCTGACTATCAAAAAATTTTTTTTAATTCTGTTAAATGACTTTGCAAAGTATATTTTATCAGACTTTCAAGAAGTTTTTCCAACATACATGTAATACTAATGGGTTTGTAATTACTGGGACAATTTTCAATCATCTGACACCTGCTCACTATTTCAAAGATTAGAAAAAAAAAGTTTTTGTGCATCCAATCACTTACTATGCATTTTCAAATTGCTCCAAGCAGTAAAAAGTAGAGTTTGACAAAAAAATTGTTATTCTCCAACTGTTGTACATTAAGCTATTTTAATGTACTTAACTGAATAAAACATTAGGTTTGAACTAAATATAACAGACAAATGAAGACTGTAATGGTGACTGTCAAAGCATATACTCAATAACAGTATGTATGTATACATGCACACACACACACACACACACACACACACACACACATATATATT